CAGAAACCTGTTGATGCCATGCTTAAAGCAAAAAATGAAATACCTACTGCTTCTGGCGGAAATGTGTAATTCTAGCATGTTCTATGTCATCTTTCTGTGGCTTTTTTCTTTAATCCTGATACAATCAAAATATTTGAAATCTACATCTGACGGCAGTACTGTCTATGGTTTCTTCCTCAGCTAGTCTTCTTCAGTCTTTAGCAAACTGTACCATACTAACAAGACAAAAAGGGAATCATGATGTCCTAATATTTTTGGATTACTTTCAGGAAAAAACAACAGTAGAGAAGCCAAATCGGACAGGAAAGCATGCAGTTACGATACCAGCCAGTGGGGGAAGAGCTCATTTTGACATCTCTGGAAAAGGTTGCTTTTCAAAAGAGATTAGAGAGTTAAGCTGATGCCTCGGTCCCAGGGACAACACATCTCTGGGTTCTACCTGTAAGCAAGTCAGTTCAGCCTCCAGCTTCTTCTGCTCTGACTGCTGGCAAGCTAATCATTCTGCCATGAAAACCCAGAGAACAGACTTGTAGATGCCAATTAAAAGAAAATAAACCTTACCCAGAACGCATTTCTCTACCTTTGAAGGCCTCCATTTCGTTTCTTCTTGTTTGCAACACATTCCCACTGTGATCAAAGTGTACCGTTTTTTTTAATCCACTATTTGCATAAAACCAGGGAGATCTGACTTTTACTGTGGTATTTCAAGTTTCTCCTGAAGATCTTGTGGTGAAAAGTAGGTGCGCTACAGTCATGCAAGACTCAGAGGTGCACAGCGTACATCTCAGCAACGTTATCTTCAGAAAGAACAAAATGCATTGTGGTCATACAGGGCTGCACTGCTGCAGAGTCACTGGGCACAGGGTCTAGTACCTCACTAAATCCTGAGAAGGAGCTGAAAGATTTTAATTGAACAACAAAAAAGGAATGATAATATGCTTTTTTGAAGATACAGAAGAGATGGATTTTAACAACTGATGCTGTAGAAGTGCTCGCATCAAGTTTTTGGCTTTACATCAAATTTGAGGTTAAGTTACTTGGCCAGGGCCACACATGGTCAGTCATTGACAGAGCCGTGGGTTAAACAAGGAACAAGCCCGTCTCCTTACCCAGTAGATCACTGGGCCTCCATATAGACTCTCCAAGTCGGTAATTCATTCACGAGGAAAAAGGAAACAAAAAAATAAAATTGTTGACCGTTGTTGTGTGATATTTACAGTATCTTCTACTGGATTCCCAACTTAAAACCTGAAAGAAACAAAACAAAACAAAACAAAACAAAACCGAAAATTCCCAGCTGCTGCAACCAAGCCTTATGTTTATCTACATGAAACATACAGTATAACTCTAATGTATGGTTTCATAAATAACACAATAGTTTTTTTTTCTTTTCCAGTGCTCTGCTAAACCTTTTCATATGATAAGTAGGTGTTCACACTGTGTCCGTATTGTTGCCAACCTTTCAAGCTACCGAGAGGAAAAGTTAACTTTTGGAGAAAAGGAATATTTAATGAAAATAATTAATAATAGATTATTCTTTTTCTCTTTCAGTATCAAGCATTTATTTATTAAATATACGGTAAGGCAAAAGAGAATGTTCAATAGGGGCTACGACAAAACACTAACGATCTGCCATCATGTGCGAGAGAGTCAGAACACGGTTATAAACAGCGAAGTGAGATGTCTTGATAGTTTTTTAAAGCTTCGCAATAAAATATCGGGCCAATGCTGAGCTCTGTTGAGGTGTCGCGTTTTTATTTGGGTTTTTAATTGCAGTGACCAGAAGGCTTTCGTAAACTCCTATCGAATGGCTATTTTGTTCACACCACCGTTTTGTTAAATTGTTAAATTTTGTTAAATCTATCTAATCCAGTCACCTGTAAATATACTATATATATATAAGTATATTTAGTATATGTTAGTAATAGTTATAATCATCATTTTATTCGTATCTTGGTAAACATATCTCGTTTATCCTAATTTATTTACAAGACATGAACTAAATCCCGCTGTGTTTATTCAAAGCGGAATCCCTTGAGCCATTTATTTCCACGGTATTTTTCTACCATTAACCAGCCTAATCCTCACTAATCACGGCTAATCCGTATTTTGTGTATTTTATTATGCTTCGTTTGCGGGATATGTTGTAGAGCAACCAAACTGTAGACAATTACCTTTATTTAACTCTAGCACTTAAAAACCACATTACACTCACGCCTCAGAGTGAAAGAGTTTACCGGCAGATCACGATAACAAACAGAAAACTGTACTTTCTTCTAACCGCTTTTGATGAACACTAGAAAGTGTTGTAGTGATATTTGTTGTGGTGTTAATTACATATCATTGTTCTAAAGCTGAATTTCCCGCAAGTGGTATTGAACTACGAGTAATTTAAGATTGAAGCACATGACGCTGTTGCCGGGTGTCCAGTTAATTCTGGCTCCTGTTAGTTTCTCAGACTTCACCAGCAGAAGGCGCGGCAGACCAATGATACAGTCAGGACAGTGCTTTGCGGTTCAGTACAACCGTAATTATGGACAGAAGTTTGACGAAGTCTCTTTCAGATCAATTTAGTTTTTGTTTCATTAAAACTGGTTGCCATCACAAGCCGCCTCTGCAATTAAAATGGAATGCAGAAATGAACAACGCACATTTGTGCACAATGAATAATGCGCACATCTAAAGGCTACAGCTCATTCTCTCCAAAGCTGAAGAAAGCAGATAGACATATCCGTTTCGGTATTCTTGGCAGGCTCATTGCGTTAAAAAAACGCAAAGATATTGATTCAGTTACGACAGAATTAAACGATATATTGTGATATGCAACACTCCTTTGTTAGCCAAATCATCCATTTTTATGGTACCACTTATAAATCCCTGTAGTAAAATGCAATGAAGGCAGGTGTAATGACACGATTCATTTTTATTATTTAGCTCCTCAACAGCTGTGAAGTAACATCTTGCAAAGCGCAATAAGAGCTCTTAATAGCTTCGTGTCTTAATAACGACGTTGAGAAGGTGAAACTCACTGTCTCAGGTATTTCATTTTGTTCTCAAACTTCCCATAAATTATTTGAAATAAATACAAACACGAGGCTTCTTTGCACTTTTGTGACTGTCTATTGGGTCTATTGCTTACACAAATATTTCGGTGAAAATTCAACATAATTTGGTCCTAAAATACATCACATTTAAGAGGAAAATCATCAACAACAAAACAGCCAAGCTCACATAAAACATAAGTCAGTTCTTCAAATACTAGTTTAATCTTTTTAACATTATTATAGGAAGGCATAAAATGCAACAACCTGTGAAACAACAACGACAGCAATAATAATAATAATAATAATAATAATAATAATAATAATATGCAGTTATTAAGATTTTCTACTCTTTAGAGCGCTCAAATATACCATTATATTATTACCATTATATTAATACCGTTATATTGTACCAAACAAAAACAAAATGTGCACTCCGGGAAGTCGGTCGGACTGTTCTTTTTCAGATACTTTTTGGCTACTTGTAAACCTAGAGTGAAAGTACATTTTCTAGTTTTTGTCTTGGACGTTCTGAGGGATGGAACAAATGCTGCATTTAATATTTCAACCGAAGTCGAAATGCATTGACAAAATAAACAAACATCTAGTCCGATACAGGTGTCCACTTCAGTCGTTTTTGTGTTACTGGCTTTAAACAAAGCTAAGCTTAGGCCAACGGTCCGGAATGCCGTTCACCACCATCTTCGCTTGATGGATATCATTACAATTTAGCGTTCAAATCTGAACTACATGAACATGTGCAGCTCAGACACTGCTTCACAGAATTGTAATAATTCTCTGGTACCACTTCAGAATTATACCCATCCTTTGACACCACGAATTTCCTAAAATGAAAAAAGAACGTAAACCGTACTTTCGCCATCAAGTATTTTGTAAAACCACTTTGGCGTCATCTATTTCAAAGCACTTCTATATCCATGTTTAATAAAATGTTAAATTAATGGAAGATAGACCTGCAACGTTTATGGATACAAAAGGCATACCAGACGGTCAGAAGATTCCCCTGTAACATCATGAAAGAATCGTACAGTTCCTATGGAATTCAAACTACGGACAATATCAGCACCGAAACAAGTGGCACCTGCTAGGAAACGCTTTTAAAGAATAAAAGGAGCTACTTCTTTACACAAAGGGTTGTGGGGGTCTAGGGCAAGCTATTAAGCCCTGTTGTTGAAGCCTATAACCTGACTTTTTTCAAGAAAGATCTTGATGAAATCCTTGGGTCAGATACTACCAAACGGGTGACATGGGCCACATGGTCTCCTCTAATCTATAACCCTTATTGTACTGTGTGGCTCTTTTGATGTCGGTATATCGGATATAATTCATATAACATTTTGATTGCTGATATTTCAGACCCCCCCACTAATAGCAGATACTACAGATCAGATGTAAAATGTGTCATAACGTTAACAAAAAAGTTTTGTTGGTCAAAATATGGACCAATCCATCTGTGTTATCGATATTGAAAAAGACAAGACATGGCTGAAAAAAAACTGTGTCTGTGAAAGTAATGTTCACATTTTTCTAATACTCAGATAAATACTGTGACAACTCAACATTGCTGAGCATCCTCGGGGCAATACGACCTTAATGGATTTTTTTATGCCAAATGCCAAAGACATAGCTAACTAGAAAATATTACAAACTATTCTACTGTTTACTCGAACACGTTTCGTTTTGTTTTTTTTTACATATTCTGATAATATAAAAACGTCCTAAACTATCACACGTGTCCATTAGCTTCCGTTGAGCTGTGGTGTAATAGTATAGCTACTGTAATGTAGTGCAGATGGATATTTTGAGTAATGTTCGCATTAAAGATCTGGAAAAATATATATAATCTGAAAACGACGAAGCAGGTGTCATCTCACACTTCATAAAAGACAGAAGACTTTTTCTTGTATATATGTTTTATGTAAGTAATAAAATATTACTATAACATAAATATAAATGCGACTTTGCAGTCTACATTTTGCAACAAACATACAACAAATGTAGTTAACAAATAATTTGAAATCCACTGCAACATAATCATTAAAAGAGCTAAACAAAGAAAGCTCCAACACACTTAGGAAATAAATATATAAATGGTCAAATTCATAAATGAAATCATATTAAAATATCTTCTTGGAATTAGTAAGTGTACAAAACTGTCCAGAAAGAAAACAAAACAAAATGAAAACGAAACAATAAATTCCCAAACAAATACATATGTTTACATATTCGACATATTTACATACTGGAAAGAAATAAAATTGGCAATTGTTTTAAATCTGTTCTCGGAAAACTAAACATTTTCATGTATTTATCCTTTAACGTTGCTGAATATAATTGCCCATTACTTCCCCCTGTTAAATCAAATTCTCTATGCAACCAAATTGTAAACAGCAAAACGCACAATATAAGGAGATTGGTTATCACCTACGATTTTCCCTTTTTAAAAACAAACAATAAATACATGTATTTTGAAACGGATCCCTTCATTAACGTTGTCACACCCAATCCTCCGAATATGTAAGCAGTGGAATGATTTAACGACATATGTGGAGAAAAATCTGTTAATGTTCTCATTTGTTTTATGAGCGGGGTTGGACTTGGACCTGGGCATTTTTTAGTTTGATACCTGAGTTTTCTTTTTTCTTTTCGTGTTACACCAAAACCTTTCTTAGGGTTTGGCTGGAATAGTCCAAAAGCCAGTGAATCAGTAGACAGCGCAACTAGTTCAAAAAATGTTGTAAACATGAAGTTCATCCGCACAATTACAAAGAAATACGTGCACAATGAAGGGGAGGGTTAAGTTAGACAAGAAATTTAAGTGCTTCATGCAAATAAATGAAAACCAACCAAACAAACCAGGAAATAAAAATGTGATTACTGGAAAAGTCATTCGTGTAGTGTTCTATTTAGGCGATACGCAGCCTGTCTTGATACGAAACTTTCCAGTTTGCCAGCTGCGACGCCGAGTTTATTGGGGCACTGCCAAAACTGTGATATCTGTTAAGAAATTACAATGTTATACTTCCGACATAATGGCATGAGATGTACCTGCAGTTTCAACCTTTCTTACACGTTTTCCCGACATTTATACGCACGGCAGTAGTCTTCATTCTCGGTAACGTATAGTGTTTTATAAAGATTTGTTAAATTATAGATTTAAAGTCGTACTTTTTTTTCAGTAAAGCAGGGACACGATTAGTTCAAACAACACAAAGCAAAGTATCACAATAATTCATACAAAAGAAATATCAATTTCGAATTTGAGGAATAGGAAAAAAAATCTATCCACTGTCTGCTAGACTGGCAATAGAAGCGCCTTGTGTGTGATAGGTTTTTGATTGAAAATGAGGTTGAGGTGAGTCTTAGCAGGTTTAGACGCCTCAAGAAGAACTGCCCGGCTGCGGCGCTTGTTTCCCTTGAACACACGAGCAAGGTCGAATTCCCTATTGTATTTGATCATTTTGGTAAATAAAGAGATCTTTGTTTTACTTGAACGCACGTGAATTCTGAGTATTTTCCTTTTTTACGCGTGCCCAACACAGCTAACATCACATCTCCGGTCACTGGCGATACTCACTTTGCAGTCTCTCTGTCCCTTTTAAAAATTTGTAAATTCCCATAGTCTTGTTCTTTTTTTTAATTCTTTTCTTTTTTAAAACAATAGTTCAAGAAATCAGTCACTGTACTGAGGTCTGCAGTGTGTGGCGGAGAGGTGGGGTTTCTGCTTGTGAATATACATCCTCCATGCTAGGGTGAGGGACACCGGCGGGAGTCATTCTTTTCTCTTTCTGTCTTCTGTTGCAAAACCAAACTCTGACAACTTCTTTTTCCAACTGGAGAGTGCCTGCTAGGCTGGTGATTTCATGCGCAGAAGGTTTGGGGCATTTTAAGAAATGGTTCTCTAAAGCCCCCTTGACCCCGACTTCAATCGAGGTTCTCTTCTTTCGTTTCCTCCCTTGGGCGGCTATTTTGTCCAAATTCGTGGGACTCCCCGTGTTGGAGTCGGTCTCCTCCAGCCACTTGTTTAACAGCGGCTTAAGTTTGCACATGTTCTTGAAACTCAGCTGTAACGCTTCGAACCTGCAGATGGTGGTCTGCGAAAAAACATTACCGTAAAGGGTGCCCAGTGCTAAGCCCACGTCTGCTTGCGTGAAACCCAGTTTGATTCGCCGCTGCTTGAACTGTTTGGCGAACTGTTCGAGGTCGTCGGAGCTGGGCGCGTCTTCATCCGAGTGGTCCTGGTGGTGGCTGAAGGGCTGTTGTGGGGACTCCATCTGGTTGTCATGGCTACCTGCGTCTTCATGGAGGGGGTCCCTCATGCTGTGGTGGAGCGAGGAAGGTTGCGGGCTCAGCATGGCGTTGAGATTCGTGTAGCCCGACTGGGAATACACCAGAGACTGGTGCCCATTGGAAGCGGGCGATAAGGGAGACAGGTGATGCGTGGTGGTGGGTGCCCATGATCCGTGGTGGCTGTTTTGTGTCTGTTGGTGAACCAGGTGAGATCTGTGATGAAAACCGTTGCCCAGGTCTTCCCGGCTGGCCTGGACGCTAGTTTTGCTGTGGTCGGGCTGTCCAATGTGGGTTGCACTGGTCCAGTCACTGTTTGACGTGGGCAGCCACTGGTGATGGGTTAAGCTCATCGGATGTCCCGTGTTGGTAGCAAGTCCTTGTAAGTACTCGTGGTGCATCATTTTCTGCACCTCTCTGTAGGTCGTCCCCTGATGCATCCTGTCTGAGTCAGGGTGCATTAGCGGGTTGGAAGGCAAAGAGTTATTCCTTGGAATATACTGAGCTGTTGTAGCCATGGCTCCTACTTCGAAACTGACAGCACTGGAGAGATCTCAAGGCTTTAGAGCCAAGAAGCACAACTTGCTTTGGGAGGGGTTGTGCTATTTAGGTCACTCCCCCTGCTATTTGCATTGGTTCTTGGCTGATTAATTTGCCCGAATGCTGTGCGTCCACACTCGCACGGCGCTCTGATTGGCTGTCTGCGCCGGAGCTCGCCAATGCGCGATTGGCCAGTTGTGTTGTTTTTTTTGTTTTTTCCACGAGTCGGGCCAAGCCGGTGTAGGGAAACGGCAGGGAACGAGTGCAGTCTGGAAGGGTTTCAGCCTGGTTGTTTTGCAAATAACCACGTGGGGGAGTAAAGAGATCTTTGCGAGGGGTGAAAAAAAATATTACCCTTTTTTATTTCTCTTTTGTCAGCCTAATCTGAGCTCTGCCTATTAAGCCGTATTTCCATTCTTATTCCATTTTCCCCCATGATAACACCACCCACAAAACGAGCAGTATGTAAATAAATACATTTAAACATACTTTAGAATATCACCTGGGTTTGGCTGAGTACAAACTCTTGTTCTATGAATTATTAGCTAGAAATTAATGAACGGGCGCCTTAGTGTTATTGGTCTCCAAACCACCAATATTTAATCACTGCACTTGCAGCTGGATAAAGGTAGATAATGAACGTTAAGTTTTGCACTGTGTTAGAGTGGCCAACGGAACTACCCCTTTCATCCCTCTTGCGCATATGAAACGTACCGTTAACAGTACCGTTTTCAGTAGCAACAAAACAGAAATTATCACTTTGATTACTTGAAGTAATGAATAACTTGTTTTCAATATTGCAAATGTTATTAAAGTCACTACACAGTGCATTTTGTACACATTTCTGAACACTAGTCACACTAGTAATTAGGGGATGATCCGAATCAAATTGCAAAAAATCACTCCTAGACCTCGTTCTTATTTTGCCCCGTGGCTCTATATACTGTACGCGTATCCACATCAAAACTGCTTTGGGTAAACTCGTATTAAGTCACTACCAGATTATATTGCTCGGATATAACAGTGGTTAGTAAGTAGCTGGCGGAATAGGAGCATGTCTTAACCATCAAAATATGAAATACGCAGA